ATTTCCAAACGACACGTGTATGTATGTACAATCCGTGAAAATTCGTACGTCACTCGCACGTACGTATATATATATATATATATATACACATACACATATATTTTCTATCCGCACAGACGCGTGCAATGAACCTGCGTGTACGGTTCAACAAACCACGTGAGAGAGAGAGAGCGTGAGCGTGAGCGCGGCCCGAGAAATTTCAAGCGTGATAAAGCGTTGTTTATTGCGACGCTTGTGCACATTGCACCACCACCTACTTACGTTGTTTTCACTACGAGCAGGAAGTGTATCGAGGCTATTGATAGTGATAACGGCGTACCACGCGTTAGGATACGTACGTAGAGAGGCTGGCCGAGCTTTTCGTTTTTCCGAAGCGATTGGCGGCCACGATAAAAGGGGGATTGCGAGCTTGAACGTTGGCGTTCTTTTTATCGGGGGTTAGATTATCTCGTTATTAATTATGGCAACGAAGGTAAAGTACGATAATTTGAGAATCTATTTGAAGTTAAAAATAATAATGTAGAGTTTCTTTTTTTTAACATAAGTTGTAGATCATCACCAGAAATAATTATTTAAACAATAAGATTTTTATTTTGTTTTATATTTAAAGTAAAACGTATAAATGGAAGATAAATTATATTGATTAATTTTATTTAATATTTAGAGGTACGTGTTATATTGATATCATTAGAAAAAGTGTTTTTTTTTAGAAATTTTTATTTCCAAAGAATCAAAACATTTTTTTGATTGATAAAAGGATGAATAGATATATATATATATATTATTATATATTATAATAAGATAAGTAAAAATGTAATTTTTGATCATTTAATGATTGAATTTTCTCTCAAAATAAGTACGATGTAAAGTCGGCCTTTAGATTTTATTCGATTACAGTGAATGATTATGAATGTTTCGGAAACATGGCTGTGCCTGTTTCTAGTTAGCCTAAGTCCGAGGTGTTGAGATATACGCATTAGAGTTGTAAGAGAACAGGTATGAAAGAAGCAGCGAGGTCAGGGTTTTGTGGGAGTGCTTTACAAGAGCTTTAGCGTGTTGCAAGTTTCCAGCTTAATTATTATGAGTCGAAGAGTAGAGAAAGAGTGTATTTAATAAACAGATTTTTATACGTTGAAACTCGAGCAAGGGTAACATTCTGTAAAGTGAGATTTTTATAATTACGACTACTTATTTAATATAGTGTTTTTAATAGTATTAATTGTTCGAGAATTTTTTGAGAAATAATGAAAATAAAAAAGAATAAGAGGATTAAAAATAATTATAAATGACGAATCGTAATTTAATTTATTTTTGGAAGGTATAGTAAATTTATATATTTATTTGAAGGAACATTAAACGTGTTTGTTTCTATTTTTATAATCATATGGTGCAAATTTTTCTCTGCAAATTAATGTATATTAATTTATTTGGTGAAATTTTAAATTTTGAGATTGTTTGTTTGATATATATTAATACATTTAATATGGTTTAATCCGATAGACATTTTCTCAAATTCAAAAATAATACTATAATGTTATTACATATATCAGCAATTATTTGAAAAATCTATCGATATGATATATAATTCTTTTTTTTTTTGTTTTCTTTTATTATATTTATTATTTATTATTGTATTCGGATTTTATTTCGACCCCTGCATTTCCATTATTTTCCATATTTATTTTTGGAATCTCTGTGAAATCATATTTATACTCTCGTATGAAATTTTTCAACAGAATTTAATTTTCCTAAAATTTTTCGATAATTATTTCGATGGAAATTTTTAAAATGATAAAAATACCCATCGTAAAGAATGCACTTTGGCAAAGGATAATAATATATTTGATAAAAGAAGATATAACGAATATAACAAATGAAAAAGAACAGGTGAAAATTAACTATAATAAATATACTCTCGTAAAAAGATCCAATTCTAAAAGAGATGCTATTTAATGCCACAAGTGATCCCATTTCCTCTGCATACAGTGACAAATACTTCCGGTGTTCGAGGGTTAAATAAGTACTGCATGGAACATCAATCATTTGCGAATTCGTGTTGGCCTAATCTCGAACACAGGCTGTACCATAAATTATGCAGAGGATTTTCAGGGTGGAATTAACGATATCAAAACAGTTGTTGGCAAATACAAGTATCACGAGTATTGGTATTCACAAATGAACGATATATGATGATAATTATTAAAAAACAGATATTTCGTACGGCTTATCTGAATTGTACCACTTTCATTACACGTCTTATCGGGTCCTATCCTAATCTCTTCTCATATTGCTTCCCTATGAAAGGGGAAATCTGGGTTCAGATATTAAATTGATAGCAGAAGATACTCTAATCCCAGTCATAAAGTTCAGAATCGATTACACGCCTAATAACGATCGATCACTGCCCCTATTGTAAAATTATAAAGTTTTTATTATTTTCGTTTTTATTATTCATCAAGAACACACACAGAAATAGAATTTTAGATCTGAATCTGCATATCAAACGTGATATTAAATTTAATAACAACTTCAGTTTATACCGTCGCCTTTCGCATTACGTAATCGAATTTTGTTCCTAATTTTCGATATTATATGATATATTGATCGTGCAGTAAAGTTGAAACAACGTAATGTGCAACAAACAGATGTAATTTAACTTTTCCATCATAATGCGTTCAAATCGATAAATACTTCTCTTGCATTAACAAACACTCCACGCCTCCATTTCATGTAGTTGTACACTTATACAATTTGTACAACATATTTTTTCATATTTATTCAAATAACAAAAAACCTTTTTACTTGAAATATAAATTTAATTTAATAACACAAATAAAAACGTTTGATTTCAGGTGAAAACCACCGTGGACGGTGAGTTCAATGAGTTCAATCCAAGAGTTTTGCATTCCCTTGTAACCATACTATTCCATTCCATCAACCCCTTAATCTCGAGCCAGCGAATACCAAGTAACAAAATACCTTTTTACTTGAAATATAAATTTAATTTTTCTTCACATGTTCAATATTTTACGTTAAATGAATAATAATAATACTAACACAAATAAAAACGTTTGATTTCAGATGAAAACCACACCGTGGACGGTCCAAGAGTTTTGCATTCCCTTGTAACCATACTATTCCATTCCATCAACCCCTTAATCTCGAGCCAACGAATACCAAGTAACAAAATACCTTTTTACTTGAAATATAAATTTAATTTTTCTTCACATGTTCAATATTTTACGTTAAACGAATAATAATATTAATAATAATGATACTAACACAAATAAAAACGTTTGATTTCAGGTGAGAACCACATTGTGGATGGTCCAAGAGTTTTGCATCCCCTCGTAACCACACCGTTCCATTCCATCAGTCCCTTAATCTCGAGCCAGCGAATACCAAGTGGACGACAGCCACGATTTCGATCGACGTTGTAAGCGCGCGTGTTGCTGCCTCGTTCCAAGAGGAATCGAGGCGGCCGATCGAGGCAAGCATCCGAGGCACTCGTTCTCGCCTAATCAACGGGATGCGACAAGCCAAGAATTGATCACGCATCTCTGGCTGGCACCGGTTGTATCCCCCGGTCGGCCGACATCCGTTTTGGATTATTCATCGAGATACATCGGGGACAACCTTCGATCGGGACACGTCACGCGGTGGCATGGCAACATTTATTTTCTGGTGTATATCGGCGACAAGTTCACTGACCATTCGATCGAAGTGGAAAACGACCGTAGCCGCCTTCGATCTGCCCGCTAAGGTTTCAATTTGGATAAGAGGCGAGAGAAGACACGGCAGGATTTGTATTATATTGCATCGTGAAACGAGAATCCCGTGTAACGGATCGGGAAGAAATCGACACGCAATTATGGGTTAAGTCGTGTTGATGGATAAAGGCCATAAAGGTTTCAAAGAGAGGGGGGACAATAAAATTCGAGCGAGAGATTTGAGAGAAGTTGAAGAGTGGAAATGAGATTTTTTTGAGTTGGGAAGAAGGAATAGTATTAATAGATTAATTTAAATAATTCAAAGTTGAATAAAGATTACGATTTAGAAGATAGAAATATTTTCGAGTCGAAATGAGAAATAGTTATTAAAGCAAGAAATGATTTAAATAATCCAAAATTGTATAAAAGTATTCGATTCAAAGATATAGAAATTATTGCTAAGAATGGAGCAATAATACAAGTGAAAAGGAGGAGGAATTTTTTATATCTTAATATAAAAGCAAATTTATTATTAATAATTACGAAATTATGAATTAAGTGTTGATGGATAAAGGCCATAAAGATTTCAAAGAGAGAAGAGCAACAAAATTTTGAGCGAGAGATTTGAGAGAAGTTGAAGAGTGGAAATGAGATTTTTTTGAGTTGGGAAGAAGAAATAGTATTAATAGATTAATTTAAATAATTCGAAGTTGAATAAAGATTACAATTTAGAAGATATATATCTCTAAAATATAGAAATATTTTAGAGTCGAGATGAGAAATAGTTATTAAAGCAGAAATGATTTAAATAATCCAAAATTGTATAAAAGTATTCGATTCAAAGATATTATAGAAATTATTACTAAAAAAGTTGGAGCTAAAAGGAGGAGGAATTTTTTATATCTTAATATACAAGCAAGTTTATTATTAATAATTATACGTTCCTAGAAGAAGAATTCTAAAAAAATTAAAAGTCTATGAATATTCACTATTTAATAATGTTGCACTTTTGATATAATTTTAGAAACAGTTTGCACGATATCCTAATTAACCCATTCGAAGCCAGTGGACTGTTCAGTGCTTATCTAATCTAAACTATGACGCACCATATGCATCATGCAAAAACATTTGCATTCTAACAAAAAGATAGCAAATCTTTAGGGATTAACTTGTCTTTTAATTAATCCTGCTATCAAATGGCATCAATATCATGTTCTTTTATAATTGAAAAAATTTTCAATTTATGCAAAATGTCAAAAATCGTTATAAATATTTAAAATGCAATGATTCGAATTAATATTCAGATATCAGATTTGGAAAGTATTATTACTCTTCTTCCAAACGAAATTATTATTCGACCAAAATGAGATTTTGAAACTCGTATATAATTGAATAAAGAAGAAAAGTAAGTAAAATAAAATATATACATAATATATTTCTTTCTTCGAATCGATGTAGTCTCGTGTATAATCTCATGCATCATTTAATCGCATTATCAATCATTTTATTTCGATATCATTAAGCAAATTCTCGTATCGAGCATTCTGCAATGTTTTTATTCGCAAAAAAAAAAAATGATTGATTATGATTCATAATTATAATTCATTAGAATATTTTAATTTTTATCGAAAATTATTGATTTAAAAATTAATAATGATTAGTAAAATTATATATTGCTGTAACTAAAAGAAATTATTCATCGATAGATACGAGAAAAATAAACAAAGGAAAAATCACGTATATGCCAACGATCAAACTCGTGGCTTAATTCCTTAAGCATAACACTACAATGTAAACAATACAAAATCTAAACAGAGACGGAGCTCGCTCCGAGTTTCTCCGAGACCACGAATCTGCGACATTATTCGACGCACGATCGCGAGGTACGTATCTCCAATTCTGTTAACAGATATATAATATTTTATTCTTTGTTAAATATTAACAAGTAAAAAGACTTCAGTGTTACGAAATTAGTTTATCTAGTGGTTGTTATTAATATATTAATTTTATTTTATATTATTTTAGTTTATTTTTTTTTTTTTGTTCAACTATATACAAGTTTCGAATTCACAGGATTATAAATTTTCACGATGATTTAATCCAGTATTGAAATAACATCAAATTCATGCAATTTGGTTCTAACAAAGAAAATCGAAATTGTGAAATCAGGAAACAGAATTGTTCGATATATAATTCATTTAAGGTAAGCAATTTCTTCCATTCCTGTGTTATATTTTTATATACTTATATTCTATTTTTAATATTTTCGAGTAAAAACTTTGTATCGTATGGAAATTGGTCAAAATTGTCATTCATAGCATTAATTTATTCGTTCCTTTGCGTTACGGATCATTTTTTTTGGATTATTATAATCATTATACGTATTATTATTACGTATAATTTTTCTAATAGAATAGGTTTATCTTATATGATGAAACAAAAAATATCGAACAATTAAAAATTCAAAAATTATAACAAAATTAGAAATCTCGAATTAATATGATATCTGGATTAATATTCTCACTCACGTTCTACGTTCTTGTAAATGTTCGATGTAAATGCAGTTTTATGCAACGAGTACAGTAGAATACGATCGTGTTGTGTCAGACGTTCGATCGGTGATAGTTTCGTTCTCATCCACGTTTGAATCGGTTTTTGGTTAGAAATTAGAGGATTATCGAAATTATTAATGGAAAGTTTTAGAGAATTACTATAATAAATTGTAACGAGAGATATATTTGTATAGATGTACACTACGAAAATTCATGCGATAAATTCTAAACTTTGGAACGAGAGTCGTTAAGTGATATGGTTCTAACTTATGTTTTCGTTAAAATTTCAATAATTTCGATAATACATATGAATTATCTAAGTGGAGCAATCATAATATGATAAAGTGGAATTATGGATAAGAATTTTTGGCGTCGTACATAATGGAAAAAACGTATTGTAAAGTAGATGTGTGATTAATGATTGTTTTATTGTTCTTTGTAAAGATATCTTTTATGTTGAACTGCATGGATTGATCACTTTTTTTTTCGTAATTGTTGTAATATTATGCTCTTTCTTTGTTTGAAAGATTAAGTGGATCATTAAAAGTATATAAACTTTATTGAGATTCACGAATTTTGCTGAAAAAATTCTAAAGTTTTGGAATCAGGAATTGTGAGTTGAAGAAATATTTCTTTTTTTTAGAATTTCTTTTAGATAAGCATTTTTTATACAATATCTAATTATTGTATATTAATGTTTATAGATGTTAGGATTGTTATTCAGAATATTATTAAAATAGTATCATTTTTTATTAAAATACAAAGATAAATAAGATATTGAATGATAATTAAAAATAAAATTTATGTGAAAATAATTTTTGATTATTCAATTCAATGCAAATTGAAATTGTTTTAATTTATCTATATATATGATATGGCTTTTTCAAAGAAGCCATATCAAAATGATTAATAAAAAGCTAGATTTATTATAAAAAAATAAATTATAAATATAATAATAAATAAATTATATTATATAATATTCAAAAAAAATAAGTAAAGACGATACCTGATTTCAGAGTTTTAGAATTAAAAATGAAAATCTTTTAAATATATAAAATATTATTGGGATAATTTAATAAAAAACAAGATATTGCACAGTAGAACGAGATAGTCACCGATCAAACATGCGATTTCAATGCTAAAAATAAAAAACATTGAAAATCTTGCAGCCAAAAAAAAACCAATTCTATTTTCATCTATTTTAGATAAATTAAAAAAATTTCTTATAAAGTTATTGTTTTAACTTAATAAGAAAATACAAATATATGTATACATTTTCATAGAGTATGTAATCATTATTAATTCACTAAAATACTTAAAAAGAATGATTACATACTTCATATTGAAAATATGAAGAAAGAATATATTGATATTCTCTTTAGACAAGAAAGAAATAACATTATTCCGTATTCGTGTTGCACAAAACAGTAACGAAGATAGTTTCAAAATTTGCATATATATAAATCGCTTGTTTTTCTTTTTTTTTTTTTTTTCAATTTTCACAAAAACTTGCAAACGATGTATTATTTTAAATATTTTACACGTGATAACAAAAATTCCAACTATATATCACGTGTAATTGTTTCGAAACGAGGAAACAATTTTGTTATCGATAAATTAACGAATAATCTGAACTACATTTGGCATTGGAAAACAACCTTGAAACGCGACATAAGACATGAAATTCAATTCTATACGTAATGCCGGGGACTCGATATTACGAGTCGGGAAACGACCTGGCCCTGATCCAATCATCTCGTTTCAAAAACCATTTCATCCTCAAAAAACCATTCGATCCACGACCGCGTTAGATCAATCGAAAAACGTTCTACCCTGATGACCGCCTAATTAATTTCATCGAGCCAGCGAGCACGACGCTTCCGTCGTTGCTAATTCGATGAAGCGAGCTTTCCCGTTCCAGGCCGTCGATTTCGCGCCTGTCAAACTCACCCTTATGCGAAAAAAAAAGATTGTATACAGGGTGTTTCAGATTCTGGACGCAAAAAAAAGGAATAAAATTTACTCGCTCGAAACTTTGTTCCTAAGTAAAACAAGATCGAAACATTTTCAAGTGCAAGTTGGTTAATTCCCCAATTTGAATATCCGATTATTCCTTGATGTTCTTTAGAATAAGTTTAAATAACAAAATTTTAATCTATTTTTTATTTTTTTTTTTTTTTTTACATACGAGATATATAGAATAATTTATGCACAGATTCTAGACAGTGCTGGAAATATTTTATTGATCAGTGTAGATTTATAATTTAATTGAATCTGTTCAACAAATATCGCATCTATTTTACTTTTTTACTTTTCGAATATTCGAATTATTTATATTTTTCTACAGAAAATTCGAAATCTGATCGAAAATCTTCTTGATATATTGTTTATTTATCATCAAACCAATTCTCTTTATTCATATTTTAATCAAAAATTAACCAAATTCACTCACTGCTCTTCAAGCTCGATTTACACGAGAAATGAAGTTTTGAGCAAAAAAAATTGTATTCTTTATTTCCAATTCAATTTTTCATGTAGAATCCACCTTGTACGACTCGTATCTGAGACACCCT